CGCCGCGCACACGCTCCCCGCAGCATCCTCTGCCCGCACCGCCGGGCGCCGGCTCCTGGGGCTCTGCCCTGCCCGGGGGCCGGGCGATCCCCTAAACGCACGGACCTGCTCGCTCTGGAGGAGGGAGTGAAGGAGGAAACCTGTGTGAAGAGACGTGCCTCGGGCAGGGAAACTGAACGGGCCAGTCCCGGGGCAGCCTCACCAGGAACCTCCAAACCGCAGGTTCCTGGAGGGCTGTTTATGGCCGGGGCAGCGGCAGCGCAGAGCACGAACCAGAAATCACAGGCGCCCACACACGAGTTATGCCACTCTTCTTTTTCCTTTTCCTTTTCTTTTTCTTTTACTCTTTCTCTTTCTCCCTTTCTTCTATTTCTCTCATTGTCTCCCTTTCTCCTTCCTTTTCCTTTTGTTTTTCCTTCCCTCTTTCGAGTACACCTTGCTATTTGCGAAGCTGTGCTCCCCTCTCCCTTTCACCTCGCCTGGCAATAGTTAGGCAGAGAACTCCCCGCGAAATCCTTCTGAGAAATTAAGTATGCTCACAAACCCGGAAACAGTATAATTGATTTCTTTCTAATAGAGAAGAATCCAGTAATGCTATCGCTCAGAAATTGTTGCCTGTGTTCCTAATAGCTCTAATTTTCACTGTCCATTTGATGTGCTGCAGGTTTAATATAGAGCTCTCACTAATCCAATTAAAAATGCACCTGGCCTGGAAGAGCTCTGTAATTAGCAGAAGCATTTTTAGCTATTTCTGCTGGAAAACCGTGAAATCATCTCTGCTGGCATAAAGGATTGTAATATGGGGGAGGGGGCGAGGAGGGGAGGGAGGAGCGGGGCCAAACATTCGTGCCTAATCTTTTTCCCTTGAATTTTTAACAGTTTCCGTGCGGAAGGATGCGGCTGCTCCTGCTCGGTGTCTGATAGCGCAGGACGAGACTAGGTGGGTTTTATACGGCTCTCCCCTCCCACTCCCAGGACCCCGGCCCAGGAGCCTGTCTCGGGGGAGCGGGGCTCGGCTTTGGGACTGCGGGATGCGCCAGGGCGGCGGGGGGGCCCCC